CAATCCCTCTTTATGTAGGTGGTATGACAAAAAATTTACACCTACAAAACATAAACAAAATCTAAAAGTATGAGAAAGAAAATATTAGTATGATAATTTTAAACCTAATTTTATAGATGAAGGAGTAACTTAAACCTGGCTTCATAGATCATGGAGTAATTTAAGTGAGTCTCGTGTTAATGGTTTATGAGAAGACGGAAAGTAGCACGAGCCATAAGTATTTATAATTCATATATCGATATATTGTAGAGATTATTTGATGATTTTTATAATTTTCATATTTTTTATTAAGAGTATTAATTTTTATTAAGGGTAATTGAAGTCTTTTCATAGGAGGGGTAAATAGTAATCAACCATAATAACTCTCAACCACAGCCCAACTTGCTTGCCAATTAATAATATGATATATATTCAGAATTTTGTCATCGGAATAATGTGTACAAGTTTTTTTATAGATAAGATATTTTAGCTGCTCCTTTATTAACCAAAGACAAAAATTCATAGTTTTCATACTGTAGACTAAAATTAAAATTAACGAAAAACAAATTAATTTTTTTTTAATTTGCTCTCAATATATTAGTATAATTGATTGTTATTGTTAATTTTATAAACCCTAAATTCTCAACAATGTTAAGCGTCTTTAACATTCAAAAGCGATATCATCTCTTTGAATTTTATTGACTCAAATTATTAACATTCGAATCAAATCCATGGCTAGAAGATAGAGTTAACATTGCAGTTGGAGAAGAAAACCAATGAAGTTTCAGAAACATGAATGTTGCTGAAGCGTGTGGAGGAAGAAACAGATGAATGGGCTCAGTCCAAGCTGAAAGTTGCTGAGGAAAAGGAAGTTTTGTGGAGGAACAAAGTAGAGAAACTTCAAATGTACGTCGATACTTTGCAGAAGCAGAGAACTGAGTTTAATGAGGAGACGAAAAAGTAAGATCACTGAGATTGATCGTCTTAGGGAATAGAATCAAAAGCTTCATAAAAAAACCTCAGAGATATAAAAGCAGCGAGAGATGAAAAGCATTGATAAAAGTAGGAGTAACAAAACAGTGAAGGAGCAAGCAGATGTCATTCACCGGTAAGAAGCAAAAACAAGATTTGTTATCTATTAAGGTAGCTTGTGGTGGTTTACCATTGAGTTTGGTGGTGGTTTACCATTGAGTTTGGTTGAGAGCAGGTTATCAATGGAGATCAAGGACCAGAGTAAACTTCTTAAAGAACAGATTCGCCATTGATGGGTTCTCAGAGTTTCACAAAGTAGTCATTTGGTTCGAAACTGAATATCAATCTTCTCGAGAGGAAAATGGAGTAATTAGCTGAAGATGGATGAAAATGGAAGATCATCTCCGGATCAGAGGAAACAGGGAAGATTCCACTGAAAAAATACACTTGGAGAGCAAGAACAACTATAAAGACAACGCCCAAAGCAGAGGAAACAGAGGAAATTCTGCTGTGTCTGAAACACAATTCAAGAAAGTAAAAGAAATGGGGGAGGAACCCACGTGAGGCTGAACACATTTGACAAATTAACTACAGTTGTGGTATGTTTTATGACCGTGGACAGAGATGATGAGTCAATGGTTTCTTTGGTGAAGAAAAGGTGTTGTAGCCTTAGCCCGAAGGCTTTCTGTAACTTGAGGAATATATTGGATGGCTGCAACTATTGTGTTCTTGGTGAAAACATATAATGATGAAAAACACCTATCTTTCTTTAGCCTAAACAGAAACTGATTATCTTGGTCATATGTTGATCACAATCAGAATCATTCACAATATTCATGTACATATGCTGATATATGTATATATGTGGCAAGATTTATCTTTTTTTTTTGTTTTGGTTTAGTTGTTATTTAATGTTTTTAGTTTTTTTTCTCAGGAAAAAAAATTGTTTTGTATTATCTTGGCTTCGATATGTTTTGGTTTAATTATTAAAATTTAATTTACTTTACTTATTCTGAGTTATTTTGAGTCGTTTGTAAGTCGATCTATATATTAGCAAGTTTGTGCTGTTCAGTTCGATATGATAACACAATATTCTAGATTACATATGTTTTGTTTTGTTATTTGTTTTTGTGACACCTGATTCCGATCATACAATCGAAATCGGGTGTAAAATATTCTGCGTCTTTGATTCTTGTGGTCCAGAGTCTCCTATCTCTCTAGGAAGTGACTCTTATTACAAAAGAGCTTTAGCTCTCATGCTTAATTAAGACTCTAGAATTCTTTTGGAGTTGACAATAAATAGAATAACAAGTGACATATTGTTTCATGAGGTTCCCTACTTTAAGTTTTACATCTCATCTTTGTAGTTTACAAGTTTCAGATGTTATGAATAATATATACGAACAGTAATCACTTAATATGTGAGGTTTTGGGTGCGAGTTCGGAATTTCTTTATGATGACGATTTAGGCCCTAGATTTTTTATAAACCATCCAAGACACGGCGGTTCAAGTGCATTGAATTTTTGTTTTAACTTGTGAGCAAAGGAATGAGAAAAAAATATTAAAAACCTAATGTGTTTAGTTTTTACGATATATGCAATAGTTTTTTTTGTGTGTGGAAACTCTGGTTAGATGGATATCATGTTTTCGATTATGTTAGAATATCAAGATTCAATTTGATCCTGATATCCAAGAGGCTCATGAGTTAAGACATGCAATGTAAATGTATAACTAAATGATTTTGTTTTAGTCTATTCTGTTTATTGTAAACTTATGATTACCTTTGTATAGACTTGAGAATAGCGAAGCAAAGGATAATGAATATGATCACAATTCTTCTCCATAGCTCAGCAATTACACATGGACTTGTGCTGGAAATGCGCTTTGAATGCTAAAATTTATGATATGTGTTACTATTTCTTTCAAGATGCTATGTTATTTTCTACGTTTTGTTTTGTTATTTTGTTTTGTTGCAATTTTCACATCGTATTTGTGTTTTCCTAAAAAAACATTTGAAATCTTGATTTGTTTAGAAATTCTTCTTTAGTTTTTCAGACTTCAAATATGGCTCAACTTTTTTCAGCTGCTATTCATAATTCATGTAATGCTTATATAGTTACTGATTCCAAATTAAATCATCTTAAAATTGTGTGGGTTATCAAGATTAATGTTTTAAGAAAGTTTATACATTTATATAGTGTTGATAACTGCTATTCTAATAGTATGTTCTCATAATTATCTTTTTATTTTTTATATTTCAAGTATTTTGATAAACAAAATTATCCAACATTCGATGCCTGCACCATGCGCAGGCCAACCAGCTAGTATATAAATGAAACCAACATTCACTTTCTCACTTTTTTTTTAAAAAAAGAACAAGCTTTTTAAGCTGCAGCTCAAAGTATTGCATCACCCTTTCACTGAATGTTTTTTATTTGTACTAGCTACTTATAATCTTAAGTCATAACCTAGGATCATTGTCCAGTGCAAGTTTCCTCTTACAAATATATCCTCAAATATTCACCAAATTCTTTTTTGAGTATAAGGTTTTGTTCAGCTGATCATTTGTCATCTCTATTTAGATGATCTATCAAGATGCTTCACCCATATAGTCTGTTTAGATATTGTTTGTTTATTTTTAACTATTCATCTACATGATTCATCCAAATATATAACTGAATTATTTATACTTTTTTATTTTCATTTTTATTTTAATTATACTAATATTAATTATTAATTTAAAATAATTTTTTATTCATCTGAATGAATAAATAAACATGCTCTATCTCTTTGACATGCCAACCTTTTGCATCAAGTCAATTTCTTATAGTTCCTCTCGATATTTGTCCTCATGCCGATTGTCTGACAATAAATTCTTCAAGATCTACACCTTCATACCAGAGCTGTGCCAAGGTAATTTGATACCGTAGGCGACAACAAATTTTTTTTTAATCATACAAAAAAATTAATACATACAAAAAAATAAAAATATATAATAATAAAAATTAATTAAAAATGTATAGCAAAATAAATATTATCATATAATAATAATAAAAAACACGACAATAGTTTAAAAAGTGATTTTGTTTTCTTTTTTTTTCCACAAAATCATTAACCAACCTTTCAAAACCAACTTCTCAAACCAACTCTTTTTCAATTGATAAAATTGCCAAATCACTCAATCTTTCTTGTGACATACTCGAACAAAGATATGATTATTTTATCAATTTCAATTTTAAAGAACTTTTTTCAGCAGAGCAGATGCAAAAGAGACTAGTCAACAATACTCGATAAGTGACTTATGTGTTAGTGGCATCTATAAATTTAGAATGTAATATTACAGATATTAAAAATAATTAAGAACTAAATAAAAAAAGAAGTAAAATTGATTAAACTCATTCTAATAATGAATTGATGATGTTTGATAAACTGAGTTTTCAGATTTTTCTTTAAATAAAGTGTAAAGACGACTGCAAAAAGAAAAAAAAATAGTCATGAACTATAACCTTATCTTTTTAATTGTTTTTTGTTTTTTTTATTTTTAATAATTATTTTATCATATTTGTTTTTGTGTTTAAAGATAAATACAATATTTTGAGTTTGACGTTACCTGGGCTTATCCATATTTATAAACAGTAACTAAAACTTTAGTAATTTTTTTTTTTAAATGGGGTCGTAGGCGAAAGCCTCGAAACCTAAAGGGTAGGCACGGCCCTGCTTCATACTTATCTAGAAAGTCGTATTTTAGCATGCACAATTTTGTACGTCAAGTAAAATTTCTAATCTAAAATTGTAATTTAATAACCACCGATGCAATGCAAATGATACCATCTTTTCTTTCATGAAAAGTAAATCAATATATGCGAACCATACAAATTGGCAGAAACCATACAAACCGAATCAGATTATGTGTCCTCGATTATAGCAGACTCTTGGGTAAAAAGTAAAACCCAAACGATTTGTTTTCGATATTTTGCGTGGGGACCAATCTTAAGATATTTTTATACAATCTTATCTGAATATACACAAAACTTTGAATCAACGGCGCTAAAGCTATGGGCTAATCGAAAATCATCCCCCGAATAATTCATTTTTTTTTTATAATTACTATCAAAATACCTTTTTCTTTTCTATATAAAATAAATATCTCTAAATCCCTTATCCACTTCACTCTTCCTCTTCTGGATAATCTCCAACTTTTTAGAAACTCTGCTACTTCCTAAATATCTTCTGTACTAAAAGATGATAAAGCCGGCGACTCTTCGTTCGTTTCCTCTCCCTATAGAGTTTAACGGCAAATCTAAGTTCCTCGAACCGTCGACGTCTTGTTTTCCGGCGAGATCCTTCTCGGTGGTTCGTTGTTCGAGCACGAGAGACGTCCCCAAGCTCGAGCTATTCAGCCGCGGAAAATTCGATCGGATTCTTCAAGATCCGCCATTAATTGAAAAAGCCGAGACCGAACTCTCAGGTACGTTAGAACAAAACCTATAATTTTGAATTAATGGATCAAAAGGTGCTTATCGAATCGTATCGACGAAGAAAACGTTTTTCGTTCTGTTTTTCAATATGTTTGAGGAAATTTGAAATTTCAAACTTGTGGCTGTGTATATATTTGATTAGATGATATAGGAAGATCTAGTTGAGGAAATTTGAAATTAAAGATCTACTTGTGAGTGTTATTAGATTTTTGAGACATGTTTGATTGTGTTTGTTTTCAGATTACTGTTCGACGCTTGAAGGTGATGATTCATACAGTTGCTGGAGAGCTTACTTTGAACTCAAAGACCTCGAAGTAACTTTCTCATTCACAAATATCTATTTCTGCACTTTGAGAAATCCAAATTTGGTTACTAAAGAAACTATACTTGGATGTGTTTATGTGAATACAGAAAGAGAAGCCGAAAGTGGAAGTAGAGAATCTAATCTTGCAAACAGGCGGCTTGAAATCGCTAATCTGGTGTTTACATGGACTTGCTTCAATGGAGAAGGAGAAGAAACACAAGAATGGTTTAGATGTAGCAGAGGAACAGTCAGAGAAAGAGAAAGAGAAGATGAAACTACATGTTCATATCCCTGATGGTTTACCAAAATCTCAAGAAGAGTTAGAGGAAGAAGAGAAATCAAGAATGCCTGATTCTGCCTTCACAAGATTGCTTAGATCAAAAGGAACCATCCCTGCTTGGTTCTCTCACGCTCCTGATCACGAAACAGACTAAATATAACAAAGTACGGTTTCTTGATTTTTGCTTAGAACATACGTAATCATTGTGATATATCTCTTTGTTAGCCTATATTACAGATAATATGATCATATTGCCAATAAAATCTGGTTGTTCGAAAGCCGTGTGTGATGCCTAATATAGTACTGGTTCTTGGTTACATAGCTTACAAATTTCTATTCTTGATAACGTTTTGTCTCCGAAAGTGAAGCAAAATCCTTAAAAAACAGAACTATACAAAACAAGAGTTGTCTTAATTTAGGCAAGAGAATGTTTGGTGATGCAAAAATGAAAAAAATCTGTTTGGCATTATTAATAATAACCCCTTTGGTGTCTTCATACTTCCATGCCCATATCTATAAGCAGCCTTGGGTATTTTCCAAGGTTTTGATCAAACGCCATGACTAAACCTCCACCGTTCTCTGTCCCGCCCTTGGGCTGCTTCCTCTTCTTCTTCTTCTTCTTCTTCTTCTTCTTCTTCTACTCATCTCTTGTATTAGCACTCACAGACGCAGAAGCCTCATTCATTGCGCGACGACAGCTCTTGACATTACCAGAAAACGGAGATCTTCCCGATGATATAGAGTATGAGGTCGATCTCAAGGTGACATTTGCCAACACCAGGCTTAAGAGAGCGTATATCGCTCTCCAAGCCTGGAAGAAAGCGGTCTTCTCCGACCCGTTTAACACCACAGGGAACTGGCACGGCCCGCACGTGTGTGGCTACACCGGAGTGTTCTGTGCTCCTGCTCTCGATGATCCTAGCGTCGCGGTTGTCGCCGGGGTTGATCTGAATGGTGCGGATATCGCGGGGCATTTACCGGTTGAGCTTGGTTTGATGACGGATACAGCGATGTTCCATCTGAATTCGAACCGGTTTTGTGGTATCATACCCAAGAGTTTGAACAGGTTGAAGCTAATGCATGAGTTCGATGCTAGCAACAACCGTTTCGTCGGACCTTTCCCGACCGTTGTCCTTTCGTGGCCGACCGTTAAGTACATCGACCTAAGGTTCAACGATTTCGAAGGTCAAGTCCCTCAAGAGCTTTTCAAGAAGGATCTCGACGCCATTTTCTTGAACAACAACAGATTCACTTCCACCATTCCTGAGTCACTCGGAGAATCTTCAGCTTCCGTTGTGACCTTCGCTCATAACAAATTCAGTGGTTGTATCCCTAAAAGTATTGGAAACATGAAGAATCTCAATGAGATCATTTTTAAGGACAACAGTCTCGGCGGTTGTTTCCCATCTGAGATCGGAAAGTTAGTTAATGTCAACGTTTTCGACGCTAGCATGAACTCATTCACAGGTGTTCTACCACCGAGCTTTTCTCGGCTTACCGGTGTCGAAGAGTTTGATATCTCCGGGAATAAACTCACTGGTTTTATGCCGGAGAATATCTGCAAGTTGCCTAATTTGGTTAACTTGACGTACGCTTACAACTACTTTAACGGACAGGGAGATTCGTGTGTCCCAGGTAGTAGGAAGGAGATTGCATTGGATGATACACGTAACTGTTTGCCTGATAGGCCTAAGCAACGATCGGCTAAAGAATGTGCGGCTGTGATTAGCCGTCCTGTTGATTGTAGTAAGGATAAGTGTGCTGGTGGTTCTAGTTCTGCTGTGCCGTCGAAGTCAAAGCCGCCATCACCGGTGCCAACTCGGCCGATTAGGAAACCACAACCACCGAAAGAGTCACCAAAACCGGATGATCCATCTGATCAGTCTCCTGTGAAGTTCAGACGTAGCCCACCTCCGCCACAACAACCACATCATCCGGTGGTTTCTCCTCCTCAGCCACCACCACCGATGCATTCTCCACCACCTCCAGTCCATTCTCCACCACCACCAGTCCATTCTCCACCACCGCCAGTCCATTCACCACCACCACCAGTCCATTCTCCACCACCACCGGTATATTCTCCACCACCCCCAACGCCGGTTTATTCACCGCCACCGCCAGTTCATTCACCTCCACCACCGGTACATTCTCCACCACCCCCAACGCCGGTTTATTCACCGCCACCGCCAGTTCATTCACCTCCAACACCGGTTCAGAAACCACAGGCACCGAAAGAGTCACCAAAACCAGATGATCCCTCCGATGAGTCTCCTGTGAAGTTTAGGCGCAGCCCGCCTCCACCACAACAATCACATCCCTCAGTGGTTTCTCCTCCTCCTCCGGTTCACTCTCCACCACCACCCGTCCATTCTCCACCACCATCGGTACCGGTTCACAAACCACAGACACCAAAAGAGTCACCAAAACCAGATGATCCATCCGATGAGTCTCCTGTGAAGTTTAGGCGCAGCCCGCCTCCACCACAACAATCACATCCCTCGGTGGTTTCTCCTCCTCCTCCTGTTCAGTCTCCACCACCACCAGTACATTCTCCTCCACCACCGGTCCACTCACCACCACCACCAGTTTATTCTCCACCACCACCAGTTTATTCCCCACCGCCACCTCCGCCAGTCCATTCACCACCACCACCGGCACATTCTCCTCCACCGCCAGTCCATTCACCACCTCCACCAGTATTCTCTCCACCACCACCACCACCACCTGTCCACTCGCCTCCACCACCGGTTTACTCTCCACCACCACCGGTATACTCTCCACCACCGCCACCACCTGTCCACTCCCCACCACCGCCTGTTTTCTCTCCACCCCCACCGGTATATTCCCCACCCCCGCCGCCACCAGTCCACTCCCCTCCACCACCATCACCAATCTACTCTCCTCCACCGCCTGTTCGCTCCACACCGCCACAGTCGCCACCACAAACACCTACACCAGTTCAATCGCCACCACAAACACCGGTGAACTCTCCTCCGCCACAAGCACCAACACGGACGGTAGAAGCACCAGCTCCAAGTGAAGAATTCATCATACCAACCTTCATTGGTCACAAATATGCCTCGCCACCACCTCCAATGTTTCAGGGTTACTAATATTAGAGAGAGATAAGCCGATATATGAATCACGTTGCGAAGAAGAAAAAAAGGAAAGATCAGAGAATTGAGGAAGACAGAAGAAGAAAAAAGGAGGGCAATGTATCATAGTGGCACTAACTCCTTGCAAGGAATCGTTTCAAGTTTGTGTAGTAACAGTTAACAACATCTTTTCTTTTGTCCATAAAAGATTTTACATTTTGAAAGCAAAAAGGAGTTGTTAAGGCCGTTTAACAATGATGGTATCTTAGAATCTACATGTCTGCGTTTAATAAACATATACTTTAGGTGAACCGAAAAAGTGTGTCCCTAAGCAAGATCTTGATTGGGAGGTTTTCAGTCAACGTAGTTAATTTTCTTAATTTGAGATAAAAAGAGATACAAGATGGTATTGTCTAACCTGATATTGTCAATCTAAGATGGAACTTCAGTGGCCTCTTATGTACTGATGAGTCTTGTTAGGTACATATAATATTTGTAACATATCCAACATGTCAAAAGATATGACATAAACCAGATAGGCTGATATATCATGGAAGCTAAAGGTTTAAGTTTTAAAATGTTTTTTTTTTTTATAATCAAGATGTGTTTAAAACCTTTTATGGGTTCTTGTTTTATGAGTTTCTGTCATGTTCCTTTAAGGTACAAAATGTACATTTCAAAATTCAAGTTTGATGGGTTTCCGGCAATTTTTATTACTTTCATTTCAAAAAGGAAAATTCCAAATGCAAATGACCGCATAAACAAAATATGTGCTACATATCCCCTATATATTAAAAGAGAAGCATTTTTAAAAAATAATCATATTTTTGTAAGTATTTACAGTGGTGCTATTTGCTGATGTTTCAACCCCACATTTATTCTCACCTAATTATTTTAAAAAGACTTAGATTACTAAACTAATTACATGATATGTCATTGTATATTTTAGGTCTATAAATATGTTATGTTTTATTTTTTTAAAATGAATTCAAATACAATAATATTAGAATTAATAATTTAATAAAATAAAAACTGTTTAATACTAATTATAATATACACGAAATTTATTATATAATATTTATAATATTTTTCAATGTTTACTATTCTTATCATTCATAGAAAAATATATAATACTTTTAGTGTTTACTACTTTTAAAAAATATATGTTTATTGATTATTCATAAAAAATATTCTTCTAAAAACAACTGAAAAATTAAAATAATATTTTATTTTCCTCAAATTTATAACAAAATATATCACTTTACTAATGTTTATTACTTTTATTAGAAAATATGTTTATTAATTGTTTATTAAAAATATTCTTATAAATACAACAGAATAATTAAAAATAATATTTTATTTTTCTTAAAAATTAATCAGAACAAATAGAAGAAAGCTATGATAATTTTATTCACATATTGTTGTAATTATAGCAAGCATAAAATTAATTGTGAAAACATATATAATACGTCAAGCAAAATATTTTTAACTTTATATCTTTTAACAATTCATAATAATATATGCAAATATATTATTATAAATATATGTTATTTTCGTCACAAGCATCAATTAAAAGAAAAAGTCATAATGACGAATTTCTAAATTATTATGATATATATTATTAATATTCAGATTTTCTATATAAAGAAATATGATATATTGTATTATGGTTTAATTTATATATGACTCTTAGATGACAAATATGGTATACAGTATAAACTCTATAAATTAATAATGTTGGGACTTTGATATTTTATTAATTTATAGAGTTATTAGTTTATCAGTTTTGGATAAAATAAATTATTTATTAATAATTAAATATAAATCTTTTTTCTTTAAAATTTATAATATTTTCTAAAAAATTTACTATAAAATTAGATATAAATGATAAAAATATTTTAATTTTAATATGAATACAACAACATGCTCATATTTCCATGATTACATATTTATATAAAATTAATTTATATGATATTAATGAATTTATGATATTAATGGGATTGTATTTTACATCAATTTTGAAAAAATATATTATCTTATTAATTTATCGATTTGTATTAAATTTTGAACCGGTCCAACTTGGGACTAAACAAAATTATTGATTTATCAAGTTTATTAATTAGTCGAATATTAATTTATAGAGTTTTCACTGTATAACATTATTGCTTGCTTCTTTTTTGGTAAAAGATAATACCAATATTAATTGTTTATTTTTTTTAATTAATGTTTGATTGATAATATACAATATCAAATTTTCAGCAAGATTTGTTCATGTTTTTTTTTCTTAGTTTGTCAGTTTTAAATCAAACAATTTAATTACTGTAATTTTTATATAAATTGATAATATCGTGATTTCAATATTTTATTAATTTATAAAATTAAAAATTTATCAGTTTGTATTACATAAATTATTTATTAATAATTAATTAAAAATTATATTTTTAAAAAAGTTAATGATATCTTTAAATATTTCATTTTTAAATTGTAGATAAACCATAATATTATTTCGATTTTAATAAAAATAAACCATTATATATTTATATTTTAGTAAATTATCATAGTTATATATTTATAAAAATTATTTTATGGTAATTACTAGTTTATGATATTAATGGAATCATATATTTATGTAGATTTTCCTTAAAAAAAATTATCTTATCGATTTGTATCATATTTTGAACAAGTCCAATTTGAGACTAGGAAAATTTATTAATTTATTTAACTAATAATATTTAATAGATAAGTAACAAAGTATTTAACTACTAATATTTAATTATTTAAGAGTCAAAAGTAATTAAATATCTACATAAATATTGTATACCCAAATATTTGACATTGGTGTAAATAATGAATCATATCATCAGTTACGAGATATAGAAAATCTATATGGTAACTTTGTATTTTTACGAAGCTATATCATATGTTATGTATGCTACTTAATTTTTAAATTAATTTACATTACAATTAAATTAATTTTATATTTTATAAAAAATAAAAAAATACATTATCAATGTTATAGTATAACATTTTATAAAATTTATATAAATTTTATTATATTTTATTATATAATTTTAAAATTATATTAAATTTAAAGAAATAATAATTATTTCACTCCGTACAAGATGCGAGTTATTACCTAGTTGAAGAGGATAGAATGATAGAAGTGCATTTAAACGATGTTTTAGGGTTTTTAATGTAAAAACCTCTCAACCAAAGATGGTATGGGTATAAACTCCTGAACTAAAAAAATTAATGTAGAAACCATTTAAGTAATTTTTATTTAACGTATAAACCCCTCCTTTAATGTAATCGTTAAAACTTAATTAATCATCGTTAAATTAAAACAATGCATTTTAGTTCTATCAAAAAATGACACAAGTAGATGCAAAAAATCTCCAAATTGATATTAAACACGAATACTCAAGATTAAAATTTAGGGTTCTTCACTTAAACAAGATTGATAGCTCAGGTATCTCGATTCTACCTAACAATTCATTATTTCAAAATAGAATGCAAAATCGATTTGAGTTTTAGTTTGCAGTTGTGGTTAATGTTCATCTCAGAATGGATTTTTTTTTAAGTCGATTTTTGTTTTGTTTCAAATCTATGTGTACTAATTGACTATCTAGACATACAAATTATGGAAACCCCATTTTCTAAAATTAGGGTTCGTGATTTTAGTAATTCAGAATTAAATTTGGGAATTTTTGGCTGATTATAATGATTTAACTCGAATTCAAAACGAGCATAAAATTTCGTGTTGTTTTTTCTTTAAAAATATGGTGTTTTAAACACAATTCGTATGGTTTTTTAACAAATTCAAAATGGAACGTTTTGTTTTGACGGTATTGCATTGTAAATAAAGAGGGAAATTCGTTAACAGACAATTAATTGAAGGGTTTCTATATCAAATGAGTTTATACCCGAACCATCTTGAAGGGTTTTTAGTACGTAGCATGGAAGCGTGGCTGGTGAGACATTTTTCGCTCCAAAAGTGAAAGCAGAAGTGGAAGCACTCGGAATCGTGTGAATCATCTTGGAAGCACGATTCCAAAAACAAAGCATCTTGAAGCGTGGTGGAAGCGAGCGATTCTGAATAAGAAGCGTTGCCGATGTTATCGGAAGCGTTGGTTCACGTTTAATCAAAATGAGATTGAGGATAACAGTTTCAATTTGTGATTTTATCATTTTAAGCTTTATTTATTTACAATATTTAATTTATATTTTAGAGTATTAGATTTTGTTAGTTAAAATTTTTTCTATTATTATGATTTTATATTTAGTATTTAGTATTTACACATAATATATATATATATATACACGTTTCTGCTATACAGAGTTTTAACCCTATAGAACTACTGCAAGTGCATAACAAATGTTGTAGTAAGGTAAAAATCGAATCCACAAGGACCAAGTGTCACACTGCAAATCTTATGAATGAAACTAAGCTAAGACAAGAATATGGTTGTTGGTTGTAATGTAAAATGAAAATAGCAAATAAATTCTGTAAAAGATCAATTAAAACAGGCGTTAGGTCACAATAATCAGAAATCATGAACTAGACAATTAGTCAGGGATCAAATAAGCACAGTCTTGAACTCAAACATGAATGTATAACTAATCCACTGTCGTGGTATTATAGACTTTATCTAGCAACCTAAGATTCTAAACTGTCATTTGAACTTAGAATTATAAACAAGCATTAACGATCATGTTCGATTTGTTCACATATTGCCTTAACATCAGCTTTCATTGGTTAAGGACAATCTGCTCATCTATGTTCTTTCAGGCTTTTAAACAAACACTTTTGGTGTGCTAAACACCCTAAGATCAGAAACTAGGGTAGCTAATCAAGTTTCAGCAATGAGATCAATGATAAATGAAGACAACATATGAAAAATCCTTATCTATGTCTGATTCAATGATTTATAATCCCATTGAAACCCTAAACATAACTGGTGTATTACTCAGACATGGAAGAAGAAGAACAGCAAAGAGATGAAGAGAAATTCATAATA